TGTTAGCTTTGTCGTCTGGTGTGACAACCAAATTTCCCAACGCGTCCTGCAAGGGCCCCACATTACCCGGGACCTTCTTCTTACCCCCTATGTATTTAAAAAAGGACTTCTTATTGTCCTTAATCTGGGAAGCTAGTCCCAGTTCCATCTCTGCCTTGGCCTTCCTAACTAACCCCCTACATCCCCGAGCAACTGCAGAATAGCCCTCCCTGGTGATTATCCCTTCTTTCCAGTGGGTGTAAGCCTCCCTCTTAGCAAGGAGACATTCCCGGATGCTTTTGGTGAGCCATGGAGGCTTGTGTGCTCTCCTGCTCCCTTTGATCCTCATTGGGATTACCTTCCTTTGGGCTTGGAGGATCGTCTCCTTAAGGAGCGACCACTCTCCTTGGACTCCTGGCTCCCCTCCCCTCTGGGACCTCAGCGCTTCTTCAACTATCCTCCTTAGCTCATTGAAGTAATAAGCCATATCCCTTCTCCCAGCTCTTTTTAAACTTTTCTTTTCTCTGTACCTCATCAAAATGTGGCACTAGGCTTGCTGCCTATTATTTTTTCTATGACACCCAGGTAGAATAGTATGTACCTGGAAAACTGTAGACATGTCTCCATGAGAGGTTTACAGCAGAGTAGACTAATTAGCTCCACCGTAAATGTCTTGGCATCTACATGTGCAGGGCTATTAGATTGGAGTAAATTATTAAACTCTGCATCAGGGTAGTACTTGTAACTACAAATACTATCCTGCTTCTGAGTTTTTTACTCCACAGTAACATACATGTAGATACTGACCCGGCTGGCTGGGGCACAAGGGTGTTTCAATGCGGGGGCTGCCTGCTTACTAACCCCATACTGAAGCACCCTCATTCCCCAGTAAGCCCCTCTGCAGCACACTGTGTGGGGTCAGAGCACACTGACCTCTGGGGCCCTCTGCCATCTGGGGCTGCTCCAAACCAGTTAATGTGTTGTGATCCCAGGTGCACATGTAAATGCAGTGCCTGGGATCGATAAACTCCGGTGCAATAAGCACCGGAGTTTATTGCATTGCATTAATATGCACACGTAGATGCATCCTTTAAGATAAAAATTTAAAGGGCCTCTAGGGTTAGGCAGCATCTGAATTACATTTATGTGCTAATATTGGAATTAGGCACCATAATTGAATAGAAGATGGGGGGGTGTCCATCTTGGTGTTGGGGAGAAGGGTGGTTGGAGGGAGGCAAAAAATAGCCCAGTGCCAGGGAGGGGGTAGGAAAAGTGCAGTCCCAGGGATGGGGTTAGTGACTGGGCTTTCCCAGCCCTGGGTCTATGCTGGGAACTATACAGAGGTTCAGTTAGATCCGTCTGGCTGGACCTCAGCTAAATTAGACTACCTCGGAGATGCACTTAATTTAGATCAAGATGGCCATTTTTAGACTGATCTAACAGTTCTGAACTTCTGCACAGTTCACATGTAGATTTACCTAACTAGTGGATAAATCTTTTTCTGGATCTGGCCTTAAGTTTCTTTTTGGAGCTAGCTCTCATTCCTTATCTTAAAGGCCCTCACTGACCCAGGGCTAGTATATCTAAAAGATTCCCTAGAGCTCTGGGATAAGAACTATGGTTGACAACCCACAGCACAATTTTTGCCATAAGGTAGTCTATTAACTTGCACAGAAGATGGTGATTTCCCAGAATTAGTCCAAGTCTGAGAGAGAAAATCCCCCAGCAATTGCAAAAACATGATTGTCTACTTCAAGCACAAGACTTTTTCAACTTTTCCTTCTTTCACATAAATACAGTCTGTGCATTTTAACAAATCTCAGATTGAACAAAATACTGTACAGTCCACATGTCTTGGAGGGAAGATAAAAGAAAACAAACTAGGTATGATGGGACATTAGTTACAGAACTTAATACACTAATGGAAGGTGCTGAGAGGCTGGTGATGAAGGCTGTATGCAAAACAATATAAAACCAAAATAAATAAGATATTTCCTACTTTTCCAGAAACTTGAAATAAAAAAATCACAGAAAAGGGTGTTTGCATTGTTAATAAATATTTACAGTACTGTATCTTGCTGCCTGCTGCCAATATGTGACTAGTCTCATTTATATTCAGTTTCTCATTTGCCTGCAGCCACAGCCTGCATGTTAATACAACACACCAAAGGAAAAAAATTGTCTTAGTTCATTTGCAATTGTTGCCACCCCATTTCACTCCTGAATTTCTCATCCTCCAGGCAGATTTTATCTAAGTATAATGTATTGCATCAATGCTCAGTTTCTCCTCAAGCCTCTCAAGGATACCATTTATTTTGCCTTTAAATTTTTTTTTGTGCAGTCAGCTGAGGAGCATCATAAAGCATGAGCTCTTGGATTTGGTTCTAAGTTCTATAAAGGCCATGCATGCTATAAAGCTTATTTTACATGATTACATAACACAGGATTGAACTCTTTCTGTCCCCAGTGTTTTCCTATATTTGGTAATTTTTAATTTATGTGACAAACAACAAACTCCCCGTAGTTATTCTTTTTAAAATTGCCCATTGTGTGGTCAAGTTCTGCCCTTCAGATGGGCCCTGGAGGTAAAGGAGTCTGAGGAGCATCTTGTTTGTTGATTAAAATAAGATGCAGCTACTAGGCTGCGCCACATGGTCAAGGCTAAGGGAGTTCAGCACCTACTTATAAGCCGACTTCAGGTGCCAGGAAAATGTCCTGGTAAAAGCTCCTAAAGACTTTAGGATAAAGACTTCAGGTATCTAAAGACATCTATCAAGGTTAGAAGCGAGTGGGTGGAAGTTAACGATCAACATTTTGGACTCTGGCACCTACACAGGCAGTTAGGCAACATGTAGACACCTAGTATATTTGTAGAACTGGCCCCTGTTTAGGCACCCATCACTAAGTTGCATAGAGCCCTGGCTTAGACCTTAAATTCTGATGTGATTCTTAAACTAGACTTTCCCCAGTTATCTTTCCTCTGAGCCCAGTTTAGTAGGCCTTCTCAGCACACCCCTAAGCCACACAGATGGCAATAAGATTTTGTACCCAGTGGTAACCTCCAGTATAATCAGCAGGGATCTGGGTTTTCTGTTTGCCATGGAAAAATCTGGTAAACTGCTGGCAGAGGAGCTAGGGGGAGCAGGAGGTGGTCAGGCAGGGGGTGCCACATGCATGCACACACACACACACATGTGCATGGCCGCCAGTCAGCCTGGAGAACAGTTCCTACAGGTAAATGAGGGGGGAATTGAGGCCCCCATAGTGAGGGCTGGAGGGAGGGAGAGAGTTGGGCAGGGCTGGGTCTGGGGCAGTTGCCCAGCTTGGGCAATGCTTAGGGCATGGGGCTGGAATGTGTGGCTGCAGGGCCCAGACAGGGAGTGGGATGGAGCCACGGGCAGCTTGTGGTGGTGGGGAGGAGGAGCTGGCTCCCTGCTGCTGCGCACACACCCGGAAAGATATGGGGGGCATATGCCCCCTAGATTTGTATGCAGAGCAGGCATGGGTGAGGGCTACCCACTGCGGGCTCAGGCTGCTTTCCCCCAGGGCCTGTGCAACCCAGCAGGTGGGACCTGGCGTGAAGTGTCCCTTTCCCATCCAGCAGCAGTGGGAGGCATAAGTCCATGCCACCACCCCTGTTGCTGATGGGTGATTAGGGATCACTTCACCATGGCAGTGCTTCGAGCGTGGCAGTGGCAGCAAGCTTCCCTGCCCTGTTCTGCCCTGCTGTGCCAGGTCTTGTTTTCTGAGCTATACAGGGCCCAGGGGGAGGGCAACAGGGCAGGGAGCCCAAGCCCACAGCGGGCAACCTGCAACCAAACCCCCACCCCGCACAGGCTCCTCTCCAGCCATGCCACCTGTGAGGGATGGGGAGTTGGGCTTCATGGTCTGCTATGCTGCAGCAGCCGCTGCCTCCCATGGGTGGCAGCTAGGGCTCTGGTGCTGCTGTGGGGGGAGTGAGCTGTGGACCCAGGTCCTTTGCCCTGTAGCTCTGTCAATTGGATGCCCCCTTTAGCAGGGCTGGGGGTAGAAGGCTGTGGGTGAGGAGTGAAGAGCACCAGAAAGGGTGGGGGAGCTGTGGGTGAGGGGCACCAGTAGGAGTGGAGAGCTGTGGGTGGGGAGTGATGGATTTGGGGGTTTTTAATCAGATAATTTACATTTTGATCTGAGAATGTGCAATTTTTATACAGAGAAAACCAGGATCCCTGATAATCAGCCACTGGTCAGAAGCAGCACAACCATTAATTCAGGGAATTAGTCATCAAAGGTCTATTTAATAGATTTCATAGATTTAATAGACATTAGGGCTAGAAGGGACCTCACAAGATCATTGGGTCCATTCCCCTGCCCAAGGGGCAGGAAGTCAACTGGGGTCAAATCATCTCAGCAAGATAACCATCCAAGATAAGCATGCAATCCTATTAGATAACTCAGTTCATTCTCCTGCTCTCTGTCAAATAAGTTTAAGCATGTTTCTTCACACCTGTGCTCCCTAAGAACAAAAAAAAGCAAATTATTTGTTTAAAATGCCTACATACAATGTACATGCAGTTTTCCTCCAAAATACAGAGAAATCATGTATTATAGACATAAATCACTGTTTAACTTCTTAATTCTGAAAATTTTTCATATACCAGGGTGAT